ATTTCCTCTGTTAGTAAATCCATTACCTGCGCTCTACTGTCACTCGCTCCCTGGGTGCAGCTCGCTCTGCATGTGCTCTGCTCATGGCAGCTCTGAGTCTGTGAATATCCATAGCTCTACTAGTGTTTGAACTTTGAGCACATGGTTTGACCTCCCATGTTACGTAAACACACACAGCAATTAACATTTTATAGGCCATGTGACATCATTTAGACCAGGGGTGTCATGAGCTCCTCCTCCTGATGAGAACTTTACAATTAGAAGTAAAATAGTTAAAAAAAGAGTAAACATAACAAGAAGCCTTAATATAAAATCTTACAATTTGTATTTTTTATTTTTATAAACAATAAAAAACATACACATACAAACGACAACATCATAAAAACATCAACTACATCACACCTGCCCAGGCCACATGGCCTGAAACTGCACCATTTTGTTTCTCTCCGTAGGCCACACACTTTCAATTTTTGAATAATAAATCATTCGATTTTTCCACGGTGTTAATGATGGCAGATTGATTGGTTTCCATGTTTTTAGTATACATTTTTTCAAGATGAGTGATGAGAAGAGAATCGTCCAACCCATCGGGTATCTCACTACACACCATATGTCATGTCTTGAAATATGCAGACAGATGGATTAAAATTTACAATGTAATACTTCTGACGGCAAACTTCCGGACTTTATAGCATTCCCAGAAAGCATGGATTATTGAGTCATTATTAGTTTTACACTTAAGACATGACTGCCATTTGTGAATTTTGTCTCTTGTATAATAAATAAAAAAGTATTTGATTTGATACAATAGATAATGTCTTTAAAATTAGATGGTTTTAATACTTCAATGAATGGATGAAGTTGGAAAGTAAATTTGAAGTGAACCAACATAAATAATAATACAAAAAGTAGAATCAAACAACTGGGCGAGGAAAATCCTGTTCATTTTGCTGCCTTAATCAGTTTCCCCAATGGGGCCTTGGCTTTTGAAGATGTACCTCTTGTGAAGTCTGAAGCCTTAACCCCAAAAGGTCATGACCTCTGAACCTCCCCTCGGCCTGACAGCCCTCTGTTTCTCGGCAGCCCAGGATCATGTGTTGCCCTGCAGCTGTGAGCCGGGCCCCCCTCCGCTTTATGACCCCAATTTTCAAAGGGCCTCTGTAAAATGACAACTGGCAGAATGATTTCAGTTCTTTCTTTTAATCACACCTGATAGCCTTTTGACCCTTTGACCTTCTCTGCTCCTCAGGCCTCTCTGTGGGGGCGCATAAATGTTTAGGTAATTATTAAATGTCATAAATGAGTAATTATCTTGATGTGGAGTGGAGCTTTAAGATGAGTTCCGTGATTATTGTGATAGTGGAGCGGACTGAAAATATAATGGTCTATTAGTACAACTGAATAAATGCTCTGTTTACTAAGACAGTCTGTTTACTAAGACAGTCTGTTTACTGTGTCAAGGAAACCAGTCTCAAAGACACACAGGGTTAATATTTGTTCATTATTGATAAGGTTAAAAATAACACATTTTGTATAGCCTGCATATTGATGGTCAAGTGAATACATGTAAATAGAGTGAGTGAAATATTAATGATCCCTAAGAGCAGTCAGAGCCTCAGTGCAGCAGTCTGCCTGCCTGTCCGTTTGAGGGATCTTGGCTGACATTGAAAGAGTATGGCTGACATCTGCAGTGTCAGACAAGCACAAGGGTAAATGTTTTACAAACTGGATGGGGAGAGCTAGTGGTGTCACTCTCCTGTCTGTTAATGTCTTCCTCACAGGAAGGTACTCAAATCGAATTATTTCCCCCCACTTTCCTTCAATCAAACCATTTACTGCTATTTATGCTCTCTGGGGTGAGTATATTCCTAGAAAAAGCACTCAATAACGCCTAAAGATTGTTTATGGTAATCCACAATTATCCTAGCCAAATGTCACACTGAGCTGTAAAGTTCTAAATTGTCCAGAACAGAAACTGCACAGTTCCTTATTGTGGCTATGTGTCCCCATTATTCTAATGAAACACTTTTAAAAAAACTAAGATTACATTGATTTGATCTATTTAATCCCCCTTTCAATTCTCAAAGCATTCTCAAGGAAACGGTTTGCTTGTGATTGTCTGTGTAGTTTAACCATATATGACAACACTGTGGCCGATATATGGGGTCATGAACTTCCCAAGTAAACATTTCTCAAAAACCCCAGTCGAATGAGAAAGGGCGGTTCAGCGTCAGCCGGTCTTGCTGAGACCAGATTGAGATGTGAATTTTGTGCCGGTGGAGGCCAAGGTCCATTTAGGGGAAACATGCAAAATGTAACTTTGTTGTTAGGGTTGAGGGGAGGGACAGAGCCTCAACTTTATTTACTGCTCCTGGTATTCAGAGGGGATTTTGATAAATCTCCAACACACATACACTACCGGTCAAAAGTTTTAGAACACCTATTCATTCAAGGGTTTTTCTTTATTTTTACCATTTTCTACATTGTAGAATAATAGCTAAGACATCAAAACTATGAAATAACACATATGGAATCATGTACTAACCAAAAAATATTATATATTTGAGATTTTTCAAATAGCCACCCTTTGCCTTGATGACAGCTTTGCACACTCTTGGCATTCTCTCAACCAGCTTCACCTGGAATGCTTTTCCAACAGTCTTGAAGGAGTTCCCACATATGCTGAGCACTTGTTGGCTGCTTTTCCTTCACTCTGCGGTCCGACTCATCCCAAACCATCTCAATTTGGTTGAGGTCGGGGGATTGTGGAGGCCAGGTCATCTGATGCAGCACTCCATCACTCTCCTTCTTTGTAAAATAGCCCTTACACAGCCTGGAGGTGTGTTGGGTCATTGTCCTGTTGAAAAACAAATGATAATCCCACTAAGCCCAAACCAGATGGGATGGTGTATTGCTGCAGAATGCTGTGGTAGCCATGCTGATTAAGTGTCCCTTGAATTCTAAATAAATCATAGACAGTGTCACCAGCAAAGCACCCCCACACCATAACACCTCCTCCTCCATGCTTTACGGTGGGAAATATGCACGCAGAGACTATCCGTTCACCCACACCGCGTCTCACAAAGACACAGCGGTTGGAACCAGAAATCTCCCATTTGGACAAATTTCCACCGGTCTAATGTCCAATGCTCGTGTTTCTTGGCCCAAGCAAGTCTCTTCTTATTATTGGTGTCCTTTAGTAGTGGTTTCTTTGCAGCAATTCGACCATGAAGGCCTGATTCACACATTCTCCTCTGAACAGTTAATGTTGAGATGTGTCTGTTACTTGAACTCTGTGAAGCATTTATTTGGGCTGCAATTTCTGAGGCTGGTAACTCTAATGAACTTATCCTCTGCAGCAGAGGTAACTCTGGGTCTTCCATTCCGGTGGCGGTCCTCATGAGAGCCAGTTTCATCATAGCGCTTGATGATTTTTGCGACTGCACTTGAAGAAACTTTAAAAGTTATTGAAATGTTCCTTACTGACTGACCTTCATGTCTTAAAGTAATGATGGACTGTCATTTCTCTTTGCTTATTTGAGCTGTTCTTGCCATAATATGGACTTTGTCTTTTACCAAATAGGGCTATATTCTGCATACCCCCCCTACCTTGTCACAACACAACTGACTGGCCACAAATTCACTTTTAAGAAGGCACACCTGTTAATTGAAATGCATTCCAGATGACTATCTCACGAAGCTGGTTGAGAGAATGCCAAGAGTGTGCAAAACTGTCATCAAGGCAAAGGGTGGCTATTTGAAGAATCTCAAATATAAAATATATTTTGATTTGTTTAACACTTTTTTGGTTAATACATGATTCCATATGTGTTATTTCATAGTTTTGATGTCTTAACTATTATTCTACAATGTAGAAAATAGTAAAAATAAAGAAAAACCCTTGAATGAGTAGGTGTTCTAAAACTATTGATCGGTAGTGTATGTGATTCAGAAAACAATGTTCCATTCAGTACATAGAAAAGTGCCTGAAATATTGACATGTAAAAATATTAACAACACAGAACAATATCAACATAGGATATAATTCATGAAAAACATAAACTGTAGTTTGTTGCATTGAGTGGGAGTAAGTGAAGGTCTCAACAAACAGTCCAAATCTGGTAGTAGCAAGTTTTGTTGGATTTTACAGGACAAACCCAGATAGCTTTAACTAGTTAATTCATTCTAAAATCAATACTCGGCTTGCTCTCAGATCTCAATAAATGTGGAGAGGGTAAGGGGAATGTCAACTTTGAAGAGATCTTTCTAGCCAGGAAAGCTCTGTCATTTTTGGTGTAAAATACACTGTTATGTCAATTAAGGGAATAACATAAATGAAAGGAGGTGTACTGCTTAGTATCTCTGTTACACAGTAGTAACAATCATGTCAGACTGAGGCTGACTTCTAGTATGTTTTTTGCAACAGTTGAAGTAAACCAGCTAGCCATAGCCTACAACATGGAATCTTTGGAATACCATGAATACAGTAATTGAACTGATATTTGCCACTGTATCTGCTGTTAAATCAGTGACTGAATCAGACATTATTAAGATGAATTTGTAATACTACTGTAATATCCTCCTCACTGTAGAGATACTATGGCTCTTGACTGGAGATCCGTGGTGATCTAAAGACCAGTGCATCATGCATGTCACCATCCAACCCAATACCCCAGAGCACTTTTGATGCACTTCGACAAGTCCACCACCAAAAAGTATCTCTCTATTGTCCATACACTGCAACTCAATATTGTCAGTTCCTAATGCCTGATCTTATTTGACAATTCATTTTCATAACTGATGTTGTAACTCAGTAAATGAACATTAATGCTAACAATAACAATCAAAATACCTGAGCCCCTGATACACTTTTTGTACATGCAAAATGCATTACTATTCAATTCCAAACTGCACTCAGTGTCAGTAGAAGTCAGGATTGATCTATTGGTTGATTGGTTATTTCCATCAATGCATCAGTATCTACCATTATGGGTGCTACTATGCTGTTCTGTAGGTACTCTGGTTGTGGGCTGGTGGTTCCTGAGAAGCTACAAGGCTGTAAGGTGCTGTATCTGGACAGTGGCTTGGGCAGATACTGCTTCATCCTCAGTAAACTAGTGAGCTCCTTTCAGCTAATAGTCTGTTAAGGGAAAGGTCTTATCTATTTACCATTTATTCACTGATTGACTCACAGATTAATTCATCACTGATTGGTGACCTGATCGGTTCCCAGATACCCTGACTGACTAATGCCTCTGCCTCCTTCCTGCCTGCCTGTCTGTATGTACAGTGAGGGAAAAAAGTATTTGATCCCCTGCTGATTTTGTACGTTTGCCCACTGACAAAGAAATGATCAGTCTATAATTTTAATGGTAGGTTTATTTGAACAGTGAGAGACAGAATAACAACAAAAAAATCCAGAAAAAACATTATAAATTGATTTGCATTTTAATTAGGGAAATAAGTATTTGACCCTCTGCAAAACATGACTTAGTACTTGGTGGCAAAATCCTTGTTGGCAATCACAGAGGTCAGACGTTTCTTGTAGTTGGCCACCAGGTTTGCACACATCTCAGGAGGGATTTTGTCCCACTCCTCTTTGCAGATCTTCTCCAAGTCATTAAGGTTTCGAGGCTGACGTTTGGCAACTCAAACCTTCAACTCCCTCCACAGATTTTCTATGGGATTAAGGTCTGGCTAGGCCACTCCAGGACCTTAATGTGCTTCTTCTTGAGCCACTCCTTTGTTGCCTTGGCCGTGTGTTTGGGGTCATTGTCATGCTGGAATACCCATCCATGACCCATTTTCAATGCCCTGGCTGAGGGAAGGAGGTTCTCACCCAAGATTTGACGGTACATGGCCCCGTCCATCGTCCTTTTGATGCGGTGAAGTTGTCCTGTCCCCTTAGCAGAAAAACACCCCCAAAGCATAATGTTTCCACCTCCATGTTTGACGGTGGGGATGGTGTTCTTGGGGTCATAGGCAGCATTCCTCCTCCTCCAAACACGGCGAGTTGAGTTGATGCCAAAGAGCTCCATTTTGGTCTCATCTGACCACAACACTTTCACCCAGTTATCCTCTGAATCATTCAGATGTTCATTGGCAAACTTCAGACGGGTATGTATATGTGCTTTCTTGAGCAGGGGGACCTTGCGGGCGCTGCAGGATTTCAGTCCTTCACGGAGTAGTGTGTTACCAATTGTTTTCTTGGTGACTATGATCCCAGCTGCCTTGAGATCATTGACAAGATCCTCCCGTGTAGTTCTGGGCTGATTCCTCACCGTTCTCATGATCATTGTAACTCCACGAGGTGAGATCTTGCATGGCCAAGGGAAATTGCCCCAGGCCAAGGGAAATTGACAGTTCTTTTGTGTTTCTTCCATTTGCGAATAATCGCACCAACTGTTGTCACCTTCTCACCAAGCTGCTTGGCGATGGTCTTGTAGCCCATTCCAGCCTTTTGTATGTCTACAATCTTGTCCCTGACATCCTTGGAGAGCTCTTTGGTCTTGGCCATGGTGGAGAGTTTGGAATCTGATTGATTGATTGCTTCTGTGGACAGGTGTCTTTTATACAGGTAACAAGCTGAGATTAGGAGCACTCCCTTTAAGAGTGTGCTCCTAATCTCAGCTCGTTACCTGTATAAAAGACACCTGGGAGCCAGAAATCTTTCTGATTGAGAGGGGGTCAAATACTTATTTCCCTCATTAAAATGCAAATCAATTTATAACATTTTTGACATGCGTTCTTCTGGATTTTTTTGTTGTTATTCTGTCTCTCACTGTTCAAATAAACCTACCATTAAAATTATAGACTGATCATTTCTTTGTCAGTGGGCAAACGTACAAAATCAGCAGGGGATCAAATACTTTTTTCCCTCACTGTATATCTGTAGGTCAAACTGTCCCATGTGTCTGTGTCTTGACAAGAAGGCTGTTCTCAGGGAGGCCTTCAGAGTGCTGTAAGTAACCTTCATATCCTCTGGTTGTCAGCCAATATCTCAGAAGGATCCTACATGCCGCACATAAAAATATAAAATATTGATTAAGTGGTGGTGCTGAAAATTGGACACAAGACTACGTGTTTTATAATGCTACTTGATTTACAAAGTGCCATCATTTTCATGAACCATTTGCTTTTCCGCATTTATCTTTGGTGGCATGTGAAAATATCGTTACGCAACCCGCAGTGTGAAATCAGATACTCTATTGCCATCTGCTGGACAACCTTTTTTAACTTTTGCTTATGGGTGTATGGTTCGATTTGCCTTCACTTACAACACTGTAAAACATTTATTTTTGTAAAGATTAGGACCTAAATAAATGACCCAAATAAAACTATATTTTTTCTATGATTTCCAATTCAATTTTAAAAGAGTTTTCCATGCGGATCACATAAATAATATATTCCTTCATAATACTGTATATTTCCTGATCATGTGATCTTCCTACAATAATATAGTTTTTTGTCTCTTGAGCATTCTTGTCAGAACTGATCATTAATGTCAAATCCTATGTATTTACAGGAGGGTGGGGAACTTTACTTCAGTGACATACACTGAGTGGACAAAACATTAAGAGCACCTTCCTAATATATTGAGTTGGATTTAACAAGTGACATCAATAAGGGATCATAGCTTTCACATGGATTCACCTGGTCAGTCTATGTCACAGAAAGAGGTGTTCATACTGTTTTGCACGCAGTGTATATTCCAGCAAGTCTGTTCCGGTACACTTGAAACATGACCCAGTTCTCTGGGGTAAGAACGCTTGATTTATGAGTAACAATTGACAGAGCTGAAAGTTGAATGTATGCTATCTGACAGGAATAACTAGGACATAAGTGGGACTATAGCACATGTTAAAGAGCCTTTATTCCATCAATGACAAACTCTATGATGCTGAGCCAATGCGAGACCCAATAACACACTGTCCTAGATACATTAAATGATCAACAACATAGCAGTGTTGGAGTTGGAGTTGGTTGGGAATTGTTTGTCTAATGTCATGTTTTCTGTGTGTTGTAAAAGGAGAAGGTTTAAGTGGTGCCCTCTACTGGCGAGACCTGGTCTCTCTAGTGCACAAGGTGGGATTCACTACTCCATACCTGGTCACTGCGAGCCACATCACAGTCCACAATAGTGAGCTACAGAAGAAAGCAAGTAAGATGACAAATTAATGTCTGCCTCTCAATGATCTCATAAATAGGATAATGAGATGAAACTATACTTCAATGTCTAGCAAGGTGCCACAATTCTGTTCTGTGTTATCATCTCTCTTGGACATTATTCTGAAATATATTTGGGTGAGAACAAAGGAATGTAATGTTTAATTTCTACCACTTCATTAGCAACTATCAGATCAAAACCTCTGTTTCTTCGTTTTTTTGTTCTGCACAGGTGGCATCACATATGCCTCTGCAACTTGCCGCCACTTCAAGTTGCCCAAAAATAGAAATCTGAGCAATGCAGTGGTGGCTTACAAACTAACAGTACCTGATCATCCCAATCAACTCAAGTTTGACATTGTTTTGAGGTGTGTGTCCAAGAAATTTGTCACCAAACTTATTCCCCTGAAATCTGAGGCGTATTAAAAAGCTGGCTAGTATTCCCAAAAACCTGAGTTTTGCCTCTGAAGGGCTGTGTTTTGTGTTTCTGCTTGATCCATACAGACAGACATAGAGGTCAAAGTGGATACAGAAATGGCAGCCGTGCTTCAGCATTTCCCGATTCTCCTGACTTCTCCATCCAAAACTCAGACAAAACTGTACCAAGATCTAAATGTGCCCCCCAAGTAAACCCTCTAGTATCTTGCCTGAGGGGCTATAAAAAAAACATAATGCATTTGTATATTTTCCCACCATAATACATATACCTCCCGAGTGGCGCAGTGGTCTAAGGCACTGCATCGCAGTGCTAGCTGTGCCACTAGAGATCCTGGTTCGAATCCAGGCTCTGTTGTGGCCGGCCGCGACCGGGAGACCCATGGGGCGGCGCACAATTGGCCCAGCATCATCCAGGGTAGGGGAGGGAATGGCCGGCAGGGATGTAGCTTAGTTGGTAGAGCATGGCGTTTGCAATGCCAGGGTTGTGGATTCCCACGGGGGCCAGTATGAAAAATAAAAAATAATGTATGCACTCACTAACTGTAAGTCGCTCTGGATAAGAGTTTGCTAAATGACGTAAATGTATATAGACCATACCATTATGTGCTACATTACATAAAGATAAATGCAATTCTAATCAGAAATTCTTATCAGTCTAATTAATAAATCCTTATATGTTTATCCTATGGACTTGTATCTGGAAGTGCTTCTCTGTTATGAAGTAGCACAGTACAGTACTGTTCAGCACCTTTACCCAACTCAGAAGGTCACAGCATCACTTTGAGCAGGAGGCTTTCCACACAGCTCAGCCCACTCAGTGTCTCAAAAGCCCTACTGTCGGATAGATATATGCATTCATCTGCAAGCACCTGTAGCTAAATCTCTTTCTTTCTCTCTCTCACTCACTTTCTTTCTCTCTGGGCTTCTTCTTCTTCTATGATATCATGGCGGTCCGCAACCAATCGTTTAAGTGCATGCTGCCACCTACTGTGCTGGAATATACGATCAATTATGATCTGTCGAATTCTGTACTACCATGAAAAAACAAAATAATAATAATAATCCCTACTTCTACCACACCCTCCCCAACCCCATTTAACTTGATCTATATCATGCTGAAACTCCACCCTTAGGATTGTTCAGCATGTCAACAACCATTTCAACAGTAACATCTGTTAGCCCAAATGTATCTTATGCCGTCTCCACAATAACCTTCAACCTGGCATTTCTGCTTTCCACAACCCGAGTCGTACTGATAACCTTACCAATAAAAGCTATGAAGTCAACTTTATTCATTATCAAAGTGTCCTTTGACACCGCACATTCATGAGTGCAAGATTTCTGAACAGGCCTCGTAACCATGCCAGGACCATCAGAAGCACCAGCCCCAACAGTAGGTCCACTTACGACAGGAACATCCATGTAAGCTCCATCAGTCCGCACTGTAGTTCTACCAATCTGTCTTACAGCCTCTGTATATGATACATCATGACTGATCCTATATCTCTGAGCCTCTCTAGCCTCTCTCTGCACCTGGCATCCACCAAATATTGCACTGTGTTCCCCCCCACAATTACAACACTTAACCTTCACATTGCTCCCACATTCAACGTAATCATGTTCCCCACCACACTTGTCACATCTTTCCTGCCTTTACATTGAACAGCTAGATGTCCCATTCTTTGGCATTTAAAACACCGCAACGGGGATGGGACAAATTCTCTGACATTGAAACTAAGGAATCCTACAGTGCCTTCGGAAAGTATTCAGACCCCTTGACTTTTTCCACATTTTGTTACGTTACAGCCTTATTCCAAAATGGATTAAATAAATAAAAATCCTCAGCAATCTACACACAATACCCCATAATGACAAAGTGAAAACAGGTTTCTAGACATTTTTGCACATTTATTCAAAATAAAAAACAGAAATACCTTATTTACATAAGTATTCAGACCGTTTGCTATGAGACTCGAAATTGAGCTCAGGTGAATCCTGTTTCTATTGATCATCCTTGAGATGTTTCTACAACTTGATTGGAGTCCACCTGTGGTAAATTCAATTGATTGGACATTATTTGGAAAGGCACAAACCTGTCTTATAAGGTCCCACAGTTGACAGTGCATGTCAGAGCAAAAACCAAGCCATGAGGTCGAAGGAATTGTCCTTAGAGCTCAGAGACAGGTTTGTGTCGAGGCACAGATATGGGGAAAGGTACCAAAAAATGTCTGCAGCATCGAAGGTCCCCAAGAACACAATGGCCTCCATCATTCTTAAATGGAAGAAGTTTGGAACCACCAAGACTCTTCCTAGAGCTGGCCGCCTGGCCAAACTAAGCAATCGGTGGAGGGCATTGGTCAGGGAGGTGAACAAGAACCTGATGGTCACTCTGGCAGACTCCACCAATCAGTCATTTATGGTAGAGTGGCCAGACGGAAGCCTCTCCTCAGTAAAAGGCACGACAGCCCGCTTGGAGTTTGCCAAAAGGCACCTAAAGTACTCTCAGACCAAGAGAAATATTTACATTTACATCATTTAGCAGACGCTCTTATCCAGAGCGATTTAGAACAAGATTCTCTGGTCTGATAATAATATGCCATTTAGCAGACGCTCTTATCCAGAGCGACTTAGAACAAGATTCTCTGGTCTGATAATAATATGCCATTTAGCAGACACTTTTATCCAAAGCGACTTACAGTCATGTGTGCATACATTTTTAAGTATGGGTGGTCCCGGGGATCAAACCCACTACCCTGGCGTTACAAGCGCTGTGCTCTACCAATTGAGCTACAGAGGACCACGATTGAAACCAAGATTGAAACCAAGATTGAACTCTTGGGCCTGAATGCCATGTGTCATGTCTGGAAGAAACCTGGCACCATACCTACGGTGAAGCATGGTGGTGGCAGCATCATGCTGTGGGGATGTTGTTCAGCGGCAGGGACTGGGAGACTAGTCAGGATTGAGCGAAAGATGAACAGAGCAAAGTACAGAGAGATCCTTGATGAAAACCTGCTCCAGAGCACTCAGGACCTCAGACTGGGGCGAAGATTCACCTTCCAACAGGACAACGACCCTAAACACACAGCCAAGACAATGCAGGAGTGGCTTCGGGACAAGTCTCTGAATGTCCTTGAGTGGCCCAGCCAGAGCCCGGACTTGAACCAGATCAAACATCTCTGGAGAGACCTAAAAATAGCTGTGCAGCAACGCTCCCCATCCAACCTGACAGAGCTTGAGAGGATCTGCAAAGAAGAATGGGAGAAACTCCACTTATACAGGTGTGCCAAGCTTGTAGCATCATACCCATGAAGACTTGAGGCTGTAATCGCTGCCAAAAGTGCTTCAACCAAGTACTGAGTAAAGGGTCTGAATGTAAATGTCATATTTCAGTTTTATATTTGTTATACATTTGCAAAACATTTCTAAACCTGTTTTTGCTTTGTCATTATGGGGTATTGTGTGTAGATTGATGAGAAAAACAACAACAATTTAATAAATTTTTGAATAAGGCTGTAACATAACAACCTGTGGAAAAAGTCAAGGTGTCTGAATACTTTCCGAATGCACCCTATCTGTACTTTCCCAGGCATAACCTTCTCAAACCTCAGTAGCACTGATAGGCTTTCACTACTTTGACCTTCTTTCCTACTGATCAACCTTTTGGCCTCAATCACTCTTCCTCCCTTCACATTTTCTTTAATATAATCTATGGACATAGATATTGGGACCCCCCAGTGATGACTCCCCTCAATCTAGCATAAGCACCAGGGACATGGCTTTTAATCTTTTCCATTTTCAGAATCTTCTCTTGCTGAGCCTGGCTACCACAAATAATTAACAATCTACCATTTCCAATGAATCGAGCTAATTTCACTTCACCTACCTCTTTCTCTATAGCATTAGTTTTTTTTATTTCTTATTATTTTATTTCACCTTTATTTAACCAGGTAAACCAGTTGAGAACAAGTTCTCATTTACAACTGCGACCTGGCCAAGATAAAGCAAAGCAGTGCGATAAAAACAACAACAACAGAGTTACATATGGGGTAAACAAAACATAAAGTTAAAAATACAACAGAAAATATATATACAGTGTGTGCAAATGTAGCAAGTTATGGAGGTAAGGCAATAAATAGGCCATAGTGCAAAATAATTACAATTTAGTATTAACACTGGAATGATAGATGTGCAAGAGATGATGTGCAAATAGAGATACTAGGGTGCAAATTAGCAAAATTAATAACAATATGGGAATGAGGTAGTTGGGTGTGCTAATTTCAGATGGGCTGTGTACAGGTGCAGTGATCGGTAAGGTGCTCTGACAACTGATGCTTAAAGTTAATGAGGGAGATAAGTGTCTCCAGCTTCAGAAATGTTTGCAGTTCGTTCCAGTCATTGGCAGCAGAGAACTGGAAGGAATGGCGGCCAAAGGAGGTGTTGGCTTTGGGGATGACCAGTGAGATATACCTGCTGGAGCGCATACTACAGGTGGGTGTTGCTATGGTGACCAATGAGCTAAGATAAGGCGGGGATTTGCCTAGCAGTGATTTATAGATGACCTGGAGCCAGTTAGTCGGATAGGGTGTAAGTGAGGCCCTGTGGTCTCATCAAACACTATCACCACTTTCCACTCCAACACATCATTACTATTGCTTGCTACCTTGGCCTTCTTTATGCTTTCTTTACTAGATGCTCCACTGCTTTCTGTATCGTGAACTCTCTTCTTCCTACGTCTTTCCACTACTGACCATTCCGGTCCTTGACCCTTATCCTCCCGCTCCATACCATCAAAACTGACACTCATATTGTTCACATTCCAGCACAGCTGTTGCTTCACCAACTTTTTCTCAATTTCGCTGCACTTCTCACCGCCAATGAAAACCTCTCGCTATGCTTCTTCTTCTTTAAAGTTTTATGGCAGACTACACTTATTGGTGTATTGCCGCCACCTACTGTATGGGGTATTGAAACAAAACAAAAATAAT